AAAGCAGCCCAGAGCCCCGAGCAGGGGCTGAGCACTGCTTAAGTACACTTTTTGGGGAGGGCGGAGGGCCTTGTATACATCAGAACAAATCATCATGAGGCGCGGGAAAATTGAATAACAACTACTAAACATGATTGGTTCATTCATTGGCGGGAACAGGTCAGGCTGGAATGATAGGTCATTCCTAAGGAGGGGGTTACATTTAAACTGATTGGTCCAGGCCCTGCAATGCCTATGTGAGACCACACAGAGCCCTTATTAAACAACCAATAGTCAGGGGTAATATTTACTGGGCAGTTCCAAGCATTGTCTTAACAGCTACAGAAATTTCAGGTTTTGCAGGTAGCATAGAAACCTAACAATACCTAATCCTTTACATTTTAACTCAGACCTTGCAGCTTAGAAACTTTACAACACCTGGTCTTTTACCCTTTAACTTTTACGCTTTAACTTCAATTTCTTTTACCCTTACAGCATGTAACATGGAACAGCCACTATAGAAAGACAGTAGAGCAATTCTACAAAAAGTTAAAAATAGAATTATCATGTATCCTAGTAACTCTATTCCTTTCGAGTATATACTCAAAATAATTGAAAGCAAGAACTGGAACAGATATTTCTTCCCCAATGTCCATTAAAGCATTATACATAATATACAAAATGTAGAAGCAATACAAGTGTCCACCAGTGGATGAAGAATAAAGAAGATGTGATATATAAAAACAATAGAATGTGACTCAATCTTAAAAAGGAAAGAAATTCAGAAACAAGTCACAATATAAATTAACCTGAAGAATATCATCCTGGAGAAACAAGCCAGCCACAGAAAGACAAATATTATATGATTTTACTTTTTATAGAATACCCAAAGTGGTCAAATTCATAGAGACAGGAAGTAGAATGATGGCTTCCAGCAGGTGGAGATAGAAAGGGATAGAGAGTCATTGTTTAATGGATACAGATTTCAATTTTGGAAAATGAAAAAGGCTCTGGAGATGAATGTTGATGATGATAGCACAACAGTGTGGATGTTGCCAGGTGTGGTGGTACTCACATGTAATTTCAGCCACTGGAGAGGCTGAGGCAGGAACCTTCAGAACTTTCGTGACACATTGTCTCAAAATAAAAAATAAAAAGGGTTCGGGAGGTGGCTTATTGGTAAAGCGCCCCTGGGTTCAATCCTTAGTACTGAAAACAGATAAAACCCAGTGTGGATATCACTAAACTGTGCAGTTAAAAATGGTCAAAATGGTAAATTTTGTTTTTTTACCATAACTTTTGAAAATTAGTTTTCCTTTTCTGACGTGAGGTAGGCATATCTGTGTGCTCTCAGTTTTTCCCCCAGGAAAAATGTTTCTGACAACAAAGCAGGGTCTCTATAATCTCAGTAATTATGTTTTGAGATACACTTTTCATTGTAATTAGTGCATAATGCCACAAGATGTCACTCTCTAGCTGAAAAACAATTCCAAGTATGTTTTGTAGGTGACAATGACAAAGCTACAGGAAAAAAATATATATATATACTCTTCAGTGCTCTACCCCTACAAATATGCTTTTCTGCAAAAGAAAGGATTTGTTTCCACTTGTGAAAAGTATTAATAATTTACTGCTAATTATGAAATATTTGTTGCCATTTCTTTTGTCAATAGACCTTTATTTTGTTTATTAATTTATTTATATGTGGTGCTGAGAATCAAACCCAGTGCCTCACACATGCTAGGCAAGCCTTCTACCACTGAGCCGCAATCCCAGCTTCTTGTTACCATTTCTTAATTTTATAGGTAAAAAAAATTGGTTTTCATTATAAACTGAGCTGGTGTAATTAAGACCCAACTAACTTTGAAATTAGTAGTAATAAAATACAAAGCCATAATGTAAAGATCATTGACCACTGAAAGACAGATGTCTTATGACAATATCACCCAATGATATACAACCCTGAGCAAGTCATTTGATTTTTACCAACTCACTATCCTTAGGTCACTATACATCAGTATACATTTAGTATATAGCACTATATATTTAAATACATTATTCCAATGCTAAAATATTCGGTTTTTATAGTAATAATTGGATTACAATTGTTCAAATACAATACCAATGACAGTTAAGTAATTTTAAAAAATACTATTTTAGGAAAAAGTGTGTAAAACAATTAGAGGCACAAACTTTTTTTTTTTTTAATTGTGGTTCTAGGGAACAATCAAATCCAGAATCTTGTGTGTTCTAGGCAAGTGCTCTCCTACTGAGCTACATTCCCAGTCTCTAATAAAAACTCTTTAAATTTTAAACATCATATTTATTACTGAGAAAATGTTTTAAAATAGATGGAATACATTGACATTTAAAACAATTGCTTTGTTTAGCCGGGAGTGGTGGTACACACCTGTAATCACAGCAGTTTGTGAGACTAAAGCAGGAAGATTGCAAGTTCAAAGCCAACCTCAGCAAGTTAGCAAGATCCTGTCTTAAAATTAAAAGAGAAAAAATGAATGAAATAAAAAGGGCTGTGGATGTAGGGATGTGGTTTGGTGGTTAAATGCCCCTAGTTTCAATCCCTAGTACCAAAATAAATAAATAAATAAATAAACAAATAAACAGCTTTGAGGATTTTTTAAATTACTTATTTATTTATTTTGGTACTGCGAATTGAACCCAGAGGCATTTTGCCACTGAGCCACATCCCCAGCCCTTAGGCTGGCCTTAAACTTGACATTCTCCTGCCTCAGCACCAGTCAATGGGAGTGCAGGTGTGCACCACATTACCAGGCCCTAAGAACATATTAATTATTATTTTTTAATTTTTTAATTCTAACTTGTTACATATGACCACAGAATGCATTACAATTCATATTACACATATAGAGCACAATTTTTCATATCTCTGGTTGTATACAAAGTATATTCACACCATTCATGTCTTCATACATGTACTTAGGGTACTGATGTCCATTGCATTCCACCCTCTTTTCTACCCCCATGTCCCCTCCTTTTCCCTCCCACCCCTTTGCCCTATCTAGAGTTCATCTAATCTTCCCATGCTCCCCATCCCAACCCCACTATGAATCTATCTCCTTATATCAGAGAAAACATTTGGCATTTGGTTTTTTGGGATTGGCTAACTTAACTTAGCATTATATTCTCCAACTCCATTTATTTACCTTGCAAATGCCATGATTTTATTTTATTTTATTGCTGAGTAATATTCCATTGTGTATATGGGCCACATTTTCTTTATCCATTCATCTATTGAAGGACATCTAGGTTGGTTCCATAGTTTAGCTATTGTGAATTGTGCTGCAATAAACATTAATGTGGCTGTGTCCCTGTAGTATGCTATTTTTAAGTCCTTTGGGTATAGACCTAGGAGTGGGATAGCTGGATCAAAATATGGTTCCATTCCTAGTTTTCCAAGGAATCTCCATACTGCTTTCCATATTGACGGCACCAATTTGCAGTCCCACTAGCAGTGTATGAGTGTACCTTTCTCCCCACATCCTCACCAACACTTATTGTTGTTTGTATTCTTAATAGTTGCCATTCTGATTGGAGCGAGATGAAATCTTAGAGTAGTTTTGATTTGCATTTCTCTAATTGCTTGAGATGCTGAACATTTTTTCATATATTTGTTGATTGATTGTATATCATCTTCTGAGAAGTGTCTGTTCTAAGAACACATTAATTCTTAAATGTTAAACCCTTTGATTTGATATTACCTTTCAACTATAACACAAATAATTTCTTTAAAACCCTTTACTTTTTGTGGGCTGAGGTTGTGACTCAGCAGTAGAGCGCTCGCCTTGCATGTGTGAGGCCCTGGGTTGGATCCTCATCACCACATATAAATAAGTAAAATAAACGTATTGTGTCCAACTACAACTAAAAAATAAATATTTAAAAAAATAAAACCCTTTACTTAAAAAAAATTAATACTTATTTTTTAAGTTTTAGGTGGACACAATATCTTTATTTTACATTTATGTGATGCTGAGATTCGAACCCAGTGCCTCGGGCATGCTATGCAACCACTCTAACACTGAGCCACAACTGCAGCCCAAAACCCTTCACTTTTTGAAAGACATAACTGATTCATAACATCTAAAAATAATCAAAAGTGAAAATGCTCACTGCTGGTTAAACAGCTAGACACCATAGTATGTTAATAAACTATATTATAATTTTATTAATAGTAATATTTGTTAATTGTTATAAGAAACAGTAAAATGATAGGTAAAAATATAGGACTCAGAATGGTAGGAAAATAGTGTAATGGTGTAAATACTGGTTGGTTTAGAATATTGACTTCCAATTTATTTAAAGCTTAAAACATCTTTCAGTTTAACTTTTGTTTTTTTGGATGATTAAATAAAGAAAAGAAAAAAATTTGTTAAAATTTGCAAGTTTTTTTTTTAACCACCACCTGCATTAGCTTGATGATAAAATAGTGAGACATCCAAGTAAGATATTCCAAAAGATTCCACCCTTGCATTTGTTAACAAGGTGGATGCTTTCATGCACTTAGGTTCCAATACACTATTATAAATGATGAATTTCTTTAGGAAAAAGAAAACCTTGCATGATTATTTTTTAAAGTGGAAGCAAAATGCAAGATATGTATTTCACATCACAGGGCCGCTTCTGTCATACTGTGTGTGTGTGTGTGTGTGTGTGTGTGTGTGTGTGTTGGAAAATCCAGTGTGAGAGAAGTCTGGTTGGGAGGGGCATAGCAGGGGAGGCCTCTTCTGTTCCATTGATAACATGTTCATTCATAGGGAACAGGCTAAAACAGACTACGCAGTCATTCCCTCCATCCTAAGGCTCTGCCACCTCTCCCAGAACTCGGTAAGTTGAAAGTGCAGTAAAGTGCAGGTTTCAGAGAACTAATCTGAAATCATTTTGTTGATAATTTATTGAAGGGTGGAAAACGGAGGGGTAAAGGAGGAAATTATCAGTAATCATTTTGCTATCGTGTTTGTATGGGGAAGAAAAATCTCAATGTATAAATAGTTTCAAACAGTAAGCTGTTTCTTCCCAGGAAAGCTTTTCAGAGGGGGCCCCTCGCAACTAGGGGAACCAATTTCTAGGAAGTCTGGGGAGGGAAGTTCACAGGTGCATGTGCCTGGGCATAGGGCTGCACAGGGCTCAGTCGGTAGTGGTTTCTGCCTCCATCCGCAGATCCGGGGATGCTCCTCGCCTCGCCTCGCCTCCACTGAAGTACTCAGGGGTCCCAGAAGAGTACAGTGCGGACACCGCGGGCCATGAGTCCTCCGAGACTACAATCGTCTCTCTCGCTGCTGCTGCTGCTGCTGGGCGGTTGCCTCCACGCTGCTGCCGGGAGGGACAAGGGGGCAGCTGGCAGCGTGGTGAAAACGTCCTCTGGCTCTATGGGTGGCTCTTCTGGTCGTTTCATGAGCCCGGAGCAGCACGTGTGCAGCTGGCAGCTCCTGCTGCCTACCCCAGGGGCCACCGCCCGCAGCGAATTGGCGCTGCACTGCCTGGGCCAGGACGGGGCGCGCCACCAGTGTGCCTACCGAGGAGAGCCAGAGCGCTGCGCCGCCTACGGGGCTCGCCGCTCCCACTACTGGAAGCAGGTGCTGGGCGGGCTACGTAAGAAACGGCGGCCCTGCCACGACCCTGCGCCGCTCCAGCCCCGCTTGTGCGCTGGCAAGAAGGGCCACGGCGCCGAGCTGCGCCTGGTGCCCGGCGCGTACCTCCCCGCCCGCCCCACCGCCGCGGGCTTCCCCCGGGAACCCAGGCTAAGGGTCAGGAGCCGGGGGCTGCCTCGGCAGCCTGCTCCCGACCCTGCGGCGGCGGCTCCACCTCCCGCGAACTCGCTGCCCAAGGAAAAGCCCTCCGAGAGGAAGACCAGAGCAGGCAAGAGGAAGGGGACCTCGGGCCCCTTGGAGGAGCGACACAAGGGGCCCGGGACCGGCTCCGAAGGGCTGGAGGAGAACGCACAGCTCACGGAGACTTATTGCGCTGAGAAGTGGCACTCCCTCTGCAACTTCTTTGTGAATTTCTGGAACGGCTGAGGCTGCCGGTCTGGGGAGGGACGTGGGGACAGGTGTGAGGGAAGAGCACGTCAGCGCGGTTGGGGCAGGGAAGCCAAGAGCATCTTAGACCAAGGGGTACCAGGATAGAGTGTGAAGGAGTCCGGATTCTGCAATGGGGCAGGGGAGGGCTGGGAGCTTAGGGTGAGAGTGTAGGGGGGTATGGAGAATCTCTGAAGCAGCAGAAAGGTTTTTTGTTGTTGTTTTGCTTTTACTTTAGAAAAATTAAACAATTTTGAAGCGTCTCGATTTTGATTAAAAGCAGAAGAAATAGTGGAAACAGAAATAGGTGTACATTTAAATATGCAAAAACTGTAGGCTGGGGAGAGGTACAGAGATAGGCTGGGAATAAGAGGCAGATTAGTGATTAAAGTGATGAGACTTCCTCATGATGAGAAGCAGGGTACAATGTACCTTAACAATTTATGAAAAAATGTAACCATGACCAATAGATAATGTACACCAGGCAGAATTGTTCATTGTCTTCTTATCTAATAGCTGACGAGATGACAAATTTTTTTTTTCCTTTTCTGAATTGTCACAACCTTTGGTGTAGCTTAGCATCACAGACCATTTCTATGGAGACAGGTCAAAACTGTCTCCACGAAAAGATTTTCAGGATGATTACCTTTTAACCTAATGTTCTGAAACTTTCCCCATTAACCTTCAAAATTCAGAAATGTAGAAGTTGAAGGCTCTAGAAGGTCTTTTTAAAGAAAACAAATAAGTCTCTTTATTTTGATCATCCTTTTAAAAACAGTTAAATTGTGAAGATCTCATTTTGACCATTCTCTCTTTCATGTAATTAACTGCTAATGTATTTCAGTTTTAATATGATATAATGATTGACTTTGCACTTTTTAGGTGCACAATAAAAACTGTCTGATTAGATTTAAAGAACCAGCAAGGCAATGGAAATTCTGCTGCATTTGACTATTTCCAAGCACACCTTGAATTAAGTTCTCAAACACATCTCGAATCGATCTTGTTTAAGATTACTTCTCATTTTCCCTCCTTCCCTCTTTCTTCCTATTTGGATTAGTTGTCAACATTTAAAAATTAGATAATTTCATATTAAAATCTAGATTTCTGGTTGTCTTGAAAAATGATCTGGGGGCTGGGGATGTGGCTCAAGCGGTTCAATCCTCACCACTACATACAAACAAAGATGTGTCCGCCGAAAACTAAAAAATAAAATGTTGAAATTCTCTCTCTCTCTTTAAAAAAAAAAGAAAGAAAAATGATCTGGCAACACTGGATTTACCTTCTCACAGGGGAACTATTGATTGACAATTGGCTCTTTTCAGATATATTTTCTAGAGTTCTCCATTGTTCCTTCATCTTATGAATCAACTTTATTAATTTATATTACCAGCCTGAGGTCACTGGACATTTAAATCACCCCTCAATATGAAGTTTTTACCTTTTGCTGACCTGTTCTTTTCACCCCTCCCCTTTTAAAATAGTAGTAAATGTAACAATTGCATCCTGATGTTTTCCCTCTCTGACCTGCCTCCAGGAAATGTAAAATATTTTATACTTATTCTATATATTCTTGTATTCACACATTTTTAAAAACATTCAGATTCAACATACTTTCAGGCCAAGCTTATGAGTTCACACTCTTAACATTGACCTTTATATAAAATTCATTATGGCCAAAAAAGGGAAACTTGGGGACCTGGAGACTACTCCCCAAAAATATGGACCAACATACACTTTCTCTAAAAAACTTAGCACAAAGCAAGTGTCCTCAGAAATGGGTATTGAAAGTGAAGCCGCATTGCCTAGAACCATGGCTAGAATTGGGATGTACCTCTCCTAGCTAATTCCTCTGTACCCTTTGACAGTCTGATGACCTTTTCTCTAAGAAAACTCTGTATGCCCAAGAACACAGATGCTACTCCCTGTGCTGCTTTGCTCTTTAAGAAGAGATGTGCTATGACTCTGTCATGGGAACAAAGAAGGACTGACAGGAACCAGCTGCTTGCAGTGGGAGGAAAATTGACAGATCTTACCATCAGCTTCCTGAATGACCATGGCTAAGTCCTAGAGTCTTCAAGACTATATATTTAGGGGACTGGATTGGGTTAAATCTGAGGTTCCTGAAGTACACTGTTATCATTCTAGAATCCTACACATAGTTTTGCATAGAGATAACAACATGGGAATATCATATTCCTTCATGCTATAGCCCAAGAAGATCATGGACATTCAGAGGAAGGCAGATGAATGGCCAGGGAAATACAGAAGGCTTCCACATCTGGAGCACCTAAAAACATTTGGAAGAATAGAAGGACAATCCTGCAGTTGGGAGACCTCAGGATCAAAATCTCTAAAATAACAAGGAGATGAACATGAGGAACGTGGGTATTTTCCACTACAGGTGCCATTAGAAATAAAGGGAGACTGTCAGTACAGGGAAAAAACATCAGGATCCTAAGTAGCAAGGGACTGCAGCATGGTCTGTGGGAGGTAGAGAACTTATTACAGACATTGGATCACTTTGTTTTGGTTCTATTTTCCAAGTTACTTAGCGCAGGGGGAACTGGAATTACATTTATGTATTCCAACTCTAGTTTGCCTTTCTGAACACCTTTTTTTTTTTCTTTTTTCTTTTTGGTGGTATTGGGCATCAAACACAGCCCTCACACATGCTAGGCAAGCTCTCCACTACTGAGCTTCATTCCTAGCCTGAACTTATCTTGATTAGGCAAAGTCTTTTCAACCTTCAAGTTTCCTTAAGTTCACTCTTTTTTTTAATTAAGCAATTTATTTTAATTAGGTATATATGACAGCAGAATGCATTTTGACTCATTTTACACAATTGCAGCAAAACTTTTCATTTCAGTGGTTGTACACAATGTAGCATCACACCATATGTGCAGTCATACATGTACCTAGGGTAATGATGTCTATCTCAAAAATATGGAATGCTTCACGATTTGCATGTCATCCTTGCGCAGGGGCCATGCTAATCTTCTCTGTGTCAGTCCAATTTTAGTATATGTGTTGCTGAAGCGAGCACAAGTTTCATTCTTTTGGTTTGCCCTATACACCACCAACATATTCAGCCGACCAAAACATTTTATCTAATGACTCATCTTATGATTTTAATTAAAGATGAGTGCCTTGGGAAACTACATTAGAGCCTAAGGTAAAAGGAAAACTGGTAATAATGATCCTATCTTTATTTGAAAATTCAATATTTTGTTCAATATGGATTGTTTTGCATTGATTTTGATTTTTTAAAATGTTATATTAATATTGCATTTATCTTTATTACTGTGTTTTGTGGGTTTTTTTCCCCTTAGCATTTTGCACCCAAGGCTAGAGCCTTAGCTTACTTCCCTCCTTCTAGTGCTGGCCTTGGGAGGCAGCTCTTGTGAGGTGGGCAAACATCAGTACTGGAGTCAGACAGAACTGGTTTGAATACTAGTTCTGCCTGCCACTTACTCTAGGTTACTTTAAGAAAGTTGCTAATGTGTCTGTTTTACTTTCTTCTCTTGTTAAATGAGAATAGTAGTTAACTTGCAGCATTATCATGAAGAATAAACTTTTAAATTAATTATTGCCCAGTACCCAACCAATATTAATTCTTCTTTTCTTAGAGAATGGTAAGTTTAAAAATCAATTAATTAGATGATAAATAAAGGGGTTAAGGATGTAGCTCAGTGGTAGAATGTGTGCTTAGCATGCATGAAGTTCTGTGTTCAATCCCCAGAACCACAATACACATACACACATATACACAAAATGAGTAGTGTTTAGTATCAAGGAAGGGAGGCAGGCATATCCTGATATAGTATAGTACCTACCTTCTATAAGTTTGAATTTAAGATTATACCATAAAACCATTAGAAAACAACAAAAACAGAAATTAGGTTTCTACATGTAAGAGATTAGGAAAATGAAAGATAAATGTAGGTTTGATTATCTGGGAAGGCTGTTCAGGAATTATTTTATTGTGCACATATGCTAGTTTATCTGCAAGATGCATACATTGAATTCATGGATTAAAGGATATATGCTCTTAGGTTTTTGAAAGATATTGCTATATTGTCCCCATCCATAACATTGTACTACTGAAACTCCCACGAAAACATTTTCATTAAACATTTTTTTTAAATACACAAGTATAAAGAGTAAAATATAAAAATCCTTCCATATCTTCTTTGGTCCCCATACAGCCTCCACTCCACAGAAGTCACCAATAACTATTGCAACCTGGTATAAGTTTTTTTTTTAATAAAACCTTTGTATATAATAGATATTCAGATCACTTCTCTGTGGTCTATGGCTTGTAAGGGTCCCGCGAAACGTCAGAGAAAGAGACCACCAAGTGACCACTCATGCAATTGGCAGAAGGGGGATATATTGAACCAGCATGCTGGGGCTCCGTGCCCACTCAAGAAGGGAAAGCAGCCCAGAGCCCCGAGCAGGGGCTGAGCACTGCTTAAGTACACTTTTTGGGGAGGGCGGAGAGCTTTGTATACATCAGAACAAATCATCATGAGGTGCGGGAAAATTGAATAACAACTCCTAAACATGATTGGTTCATTCATTGGCGGGAACAGGTCAGGCTGGAGTGATAGGTCATTCCTAAGGAGGGGGTTACATTTAAACTGATTGGTCCAGGCCCTGCAATGCCTATGTGCGACCACACAGAGCCCTTATTAAACAATCCAAATAGTCAGGGGAAATATTTACTGGGCAGTTCCAAGCATTGTCTTAACAGCTACAGAAATTTCAGGTTTTGCAGGTAGCATAGAAACCTAACAATACCTAATCCTTTACATTTTAACTCAGACCTTGCAACTTAGAAACTTTACAACACCCGGTCTTTTACCCTTTAACTTTTACGCTTTAACTTCAATTTCTCTTACCCTTACAGGCTGAGGTTCTTAGGAGCTATTCAAATCTTCATCCTGTGTTCTATTTAATTGTATAAATGTATTTATGTTTTTAAATATATTGGTTTATATTCTTTTTGCATAAATGAAGTCATAATTAATTTTTCACATGATAATGTAGTTTGCAGCAGTTGGCTCTTATTGTTTTCATTTGTACATAATATTAAGAAATAATATTAAGAAATAATCACAAAATCAAAATTGCCTGTGCACTTCCACAAGGTTTGATTCTATTCTTATACTTCCTTAAATTATAATTATATTAGTTTCTAGGGTTGCTGAAACAATCACAAACTGGGTGGCTTAAACCACATACATTTTTTGTCTCATGATTTTGAAAACTACAAGTTTGAGATCAAGGTGCCTGCAAGGGTTGATTTCTTCTGACAGCTGTGATAAATCTACTTGGCATTGTTTGGCTTCTATCTGTGACATTTTCCCTGTGTCTGTCTTCAAATTCCCCTCCCCCCTTTTAAGTTAAGACATGGGGTCTCACTATGTTGCTCAGGCTGGTCCAGACTCCTGGGTCCAAATGATTCTCTAGCCTCCTGAGTAGAGCAGTAACTCCCCCCCGCCACTTTTTTTAAAATAAAGACCCAAGTCCTGTTGGATTAAAGGTCCATCCTACTCCAGAATGACCTCATATTAAATAATCACATCTGCTACAACCCTATTTCCAAATAGGGTCACATCCTGAGATACTGGGGATTAAGACTCTAATTAAATTTTCAGGGGACACAATTCAACCCATAACAATAACAACTTCTCTGACCCCGCCTTTTGCCACAAAGCATCAGTTCTTTGCTATTATACATAAGCACATTTCCCTTTCTTATGGATATTGTTTCCATTGATTTTTTTTTCTTTCAATTTTATTTAACTGGTAAGGCATCTCCTCTATGAAACTAATCCAATTTGACTGTAAATTCATTTAGCAGACATGGGAAATGTCACAATGTGCTTGACATGCTGACTGTCTGCCATACATTTCTAACCCAGAAAGCAAATCTGTATGGGAATATTATTAGGCTTATAAAATGCTAACTTTCCACCACATCTCATTGCCTGAGCATATTGTTACCTGAAAGATGTGTCTTAATTTTCCACATTCTGCTGACTGAAAGAAAATTCTAGTGGTAAACCTCCCATCTTGGTATTCAACACAAAGTTCAAGGCAAAAATAAGGAACCTTGAAAAGGTCATGCTGGAAGCAAAAGGCAATCAGATCAACCTCAAAGAAAATACACAATGGAAGCTTGAGGGGAGAATCAATTTCCTTGCCCCCTTTCCAGCTTTTAGAGGCTTAGACCACAGTCTTCTTCCATCTTCAAAGTCAGCAATCATCTCATTTCAACTTCTATTTCCATTACCACTTGCCTCCCTCTTTTGTACTTAAAAAAACCTTTGTAAGCATATAAAGTTCAGTTAGTTAGCAATCTTAACAATTCATTTGTAACTTCAAAATCATTACCATGATTTTGCAATCATTTGTGGACATGGGCATGCACAGAATGGTGAAAAATTTTAGTAACCCAAAATGCTTGTTTTCAGCTGAGATCCAACAAGACATCACATGCTGGGAGCCATTAGCCAAGTAGGTATGACAATTTCCTTGCCAGCGTACCCCATGTTGCTTAGTGGAAGGACTCGTGGAAATAGGACATTTTGCAGTGACATTGCATGTAGGTGACCTTGCTCAAGGACCAGGGCGGATCCGGGTTTAGGGCGTTCCGGGTTTATAATCCAGGTTTAGGGCGTTCCGGGTTTAGGTTCCAGGTTTAAGGTTTAAG